TGGTGCTGCCCTGGCCTCCTCGAATGTGAGCCGGAAGACGCATCCCTGAGCCCTCGGGGGCTTTGCTCTACCCTGAACCCGTTAGTAATCCTCAGTGTAACCGATGCTGGAGCCTATGCTGGCCTGGCAGCAAGCACTGGACAGTTGGTCTTCACGTGACCAACCTGATTGCAATGGTAACAAATCCTCATATCTTGGGCCGGGGGATGACTGGTGGCAATCCCTCGCAAAGTGCCCCTCATTTCCGCATCTGCGGTACGTACTACTGGATCTACAAACTCCAGAATGACCCTTCCTGCACTTCCCACAAGTGCGGCCGCGCTGTCCCCCCCAAACTTAGAATCAACGGTCTTAGACCGCTTCGACGTAGGCTGTAACTGCGTCAGGACCTGTCGCTGCTCTCTCAACTGCAATTCAATCTCAAGCTTACGCCGCCTAGCGGCCTCTTGTAACTCCAACAATGTATCACAACGCTGGGTAGCAACAAACTATCTAAGATCAGACTTGAGCATGCTCAAATAACGTGTCATTTAAGCCTGCTCGGATGCAAAATCCAGGTAAAACATCATCCTCTCAGTAAACATGTGGGTAATCACCATCACTGACTCCAATCCTTGTCTCAAATCCAGAAACTCTTGTGCCAGCCGCTCACGCTCAACCCACAAAATGTAGTGGGAGCGGAACATCTCCCTGAACTGATCCCAAGTAACTATAACTCTCTGCTCATCAAAATATGACCCCATCATCAATCTCCACCAGTCCTGTGCTCCGGACCTTAGCAGGTTCAGAGCACACCTGACCTTCTGGTTAGTAGGACATGAGGATGTGAAAAAGCATCCCTCAACATCATATAACCACCTCATGGCCATGATGGGTCCGAGATCCCATCAAAAGTCAGGGACTTTGTGTTATCGAAGTCCCAGTACTAAAAAGCTAGACTAGCCCCACCACCTACAACTGTTAAGGCTGTAGAGGCAGTCGTCTCAGCAATGGCTGCATAACGCTCATCAAAGTACTCAACCATGGTGGTCTTAATAGACCCAAACATCTTTAGCAACTCAGCCCGAAAAAGTGCAGCAACCTCATTGTGCAGGATCTCCCGAATCCTGGTATCTAGCTCATTTGGCCTCATCTGACCAATGGCATCAGACACTGCTGGTCCACCCTGAATGCCAGCTCCTAATAGACCCGGATCCGGTCACAAATCGCCTCGTAAACACCATGCTGAAAATATACCTGGAAGATATCATACATCCCATATAATAACGGGGAACCAACTCCCAACCAAAACCCTAGGGGTTGTGACTTCCTTGCTACGCGTACGGGCCCATATTACCTTCCACACCTATCCATGTTTTCATCAAGTATCATCACAACGACCTAACAATATACATAAGCATAGGCAAGCACTCAATCCTCACTCCTAGAAGAAGACTAAATATCTCATAATTGGTCGAGTGACCCCGCACAACTCATCCATGAAACTTCCACCAACCCTGCAGCACTCGTGTATGCTAGTCATACATAACGTTGGGCCCTATAGATATTCGAATATCTGATCCTACCCTAAGCCAGTCATCAAACAAGAAAAGGAAATAAGGCCAAACCAAATATTCTCAGGCTATGAGATCTTAATTATGTACAACTATGATGCATACACTAAGCAACTACAATAATGATATCAATTTCATATAAGGAAAAGCCTACGCTATCAGGCATCATATAATTAGGAAATTCTATCATGCAATTCATGAAGATCCCTAGCCTATTACTAGCATGTTGTTCTAACATATCACAATATCAAATATCCGTATGGTATTTTGGGGTCTACTTACTGGCTCCGGCTGATCGTACACTCTGCATCCTCCTTTAGTATTTTAAAAACCATTTGAAAATCATTTTGAAAATCCTTTCCTTAGGTTGAGACTGGATTCACATGAGGGTCCCTCCAATTCACTCAAACTAAAGCTCTGATACCAACTTATAACATCCATAAAATTCATGAAAATTTAAAACTTTTTCAAACATCCAAAAACCAATATTTATTACAAAATGTTTTCAGAATAGTTTCATATCAGGGTATCCCAGAAATCAAAATCATAAAATGCAAGGAGGTGCACGATCAAGCCTTCGCCTTCCTGCGATCATCCGAAGTACCTGAAACAAAATCCAAAACTGTAAGCCCGAAGCTTAGTGAGTTCCCCCAAAATACCAACATCATACAAACCATAACCATATCATAATAAACAACATGCATATAGAGTTTGTCTGGTCCACTCTCAGAACCTTCAGCATGTCTGGTCCACCCTCCCGGGCCTTTAGCTTGTCTGGACCGTTCTCCGGGCCTTCGGCCTGACTAATATGCTTCGATGAGTTTGCAGTCTATCCGGACCGCCCTGGGTCTGTTGGCCTAGAGCACAAAGCAGGACCGCCTCAACCCACCCACAATCATACACTCAACACATAAATATCATACGCTAGCTAGCATGCACAAATATTAAAACCAATCTAACAGATCACTAATCATAACATCATCCTATATACCAGGATATCGACCTAACAGGCCACTAACATAACATCATCCTATATACCAGGATACCAACCTAACAAGTCACTAACATATCATCATCCTATATACCAGGATACCAACCTAACATATCACTAAGCATATCATCATGCGCTAACCAGGACAACAATCCAAAAATGGTCAACATTAGTGCCTTTGACCATGTTAGTATGGTGAGGAAAACTCACCTCACCAGTAGTGCTGAACAGATAAAATCGAATCCCAACACACAGGTCCAAACTCAACTGCCTGTAACCGTCATATAACTAATTCCATTAAAATCCCAAATTACCATAATATCCCCAGAAGTCAAACTTGGTCAAAGTCAAAGTCAATGGTCAAGGTCAACAATCCATGTTGACCCAACTCATCGAGTTCATCTATTGACTCATCGAGTTCCTTCAGAACTCAAAAACCGAAAACTCGAGTCAACTCGTTGAGTTATCTGAGTAACTCGTCGAGTTATCTGAGTAACTCGTCGAGTTATTCAGTGTCCAGAAGTCCAGGAAAGCCCTAATCAACTCGCCGAGTTATCTCGCCCACTCGCTGAGTTCACTCAGAATCCAGAAGGAGGGTAAACCCTATCTAACTCGTCGAGTTCCTTAAGCCATTTTCTCATTTAGACGCTTTTAAGCGAAACCAAGGCTCCAAACTGTAGATCTAGCCTTCTAGGGTGAAGTTACCATGTAAAGTTGCCAAGTTTACATGCATGCAAGGCCTCAAAGGGATTAAAACACTAGAACTAAGCTTAACAAGGGATTTAGGGCATGGAGAAAGGCCAAGACTAGATAAAGTCGAGAACTTTATGTCCATGAGGGCCTAGAGGAGTCTAGATCTGAACTTCTTACTTCAAAACATGCTTAATACCACAAATGCCTCAAGAATAAGCTAGAAATGACCCTAAACTCTTGCATGGAGTGATCTAACAAGAAGATAATCAAGGTAACGACTTTTACCTTCGAATGAATACCAAAATGAAGTAGATGTTGGATCTACAAGATCCTTCTCGTACCAAGCTTCTCAATCTTCAAGTCTTTTCAACAAATGCACCAAATACACACTCTTTAGCCTCACACACACTCAAAGTAAGAGGTTAGCTTGATTAGGGTTTGTTTCTGGTCGTGAAGGCGGTAAGGGAGGCTGGAAGGAGGACTTAAGGTCCTTTAATTAGGGTACAAACCCTAAAAATTAGGGTTTTCAAGCACAACCTTAACTCGTCGAGTAGGTCCTAAAGTTCACGCAGCCTGATCAGTTTCTACACGATGAGTTGGGGCAGCCAACTCGTCAAGTAGGTCTGAAAATATGAATATAAATGCTTCAAATTTATACATGAGAGTCAGGATGTTACAAATTTGCATATAAATACATTTTCAACTTGAAACCTTCATCCTTCAATGCATCACACCTTGCCGCCAACATGTTGTTCCTGCTTAAAAGTCCATTGCACTGTTCCTCTAACATGTTGATACTTCTCACCTTTTCCCCACTGTATTGATGTTTCTTACCAGACCAGGTATGATGGCTTTACTCATAGCAGACATAGGCGGGTCAACCCACCCAATAAACCCACAAACAGAATCCTTAATAGGGCACACATAAAACCTCCTTTCGGGATCCAGTGGTGTCTAAGACATTTTCACCAAAGCGAGCTTTGCACAAAAAGAAACCACCATTGTTCTATTGTAGGTCATAAAAGAGAAATAGAAGAAAATAGTCATTGGGGAAGAACAATCGTTGGGGAAGAAGATAGTTGGAAATAGAAAATGGTATATAAATGATGTTTTATTTTTTCTACCGCAAAAATGGTCCCTAAAGTAAAAAAGACAAAAATACCCTCACGTGGAGGGCACATGAGGGGGTTAACAGATTGTTTTTAACGGGAGTTAACTACAGGGATCATTTTCACAAACAAACCAGTTTCAAAAGACCAAAAAGCTAAAAAACTCATGGTTTGGATCAAAACCCAAAAAAAAATGATTACCATAGGGAGATTTTTGCAGTTTTGTTTATTTAAAAATACAAAAGTCAAAATTAAAATGAATGTATAATATGAAGGACTATAAATGTAAATTTTATTAATTTAATAGTATTATAGTAAACTTTTTCTGCAAGTTAATATGGTTCCGAGGCTAGTACAACAACACTCAAATTTAAAGGGAAGACGGATATACACAACAGTTTTTTACTATATAAAATAATTGATGTATTATAGAAAGAAAACATGTTCTGTATAAATCAGTTCGCAAATTTAAATGGCTTGGTTTCCAAACAATGTTGTGTAGATTGAGCATGTGTGGCTATACACTTACCAAATATATCAAGCGATTTATCGATAATTAAAATCCCTTTTGGGAAATTATGAAGAATAAATTACATTAAACTAAAACGAAATAAAAGAATTAAAAAAATCTACTTTGTTAATGATACTTTGCTTTTATGCCACCAACCGCTCCTGCTCTCTGATCATCTGTTCGACCCACTGTGGCAGCTTCTCTCCACCTCCACCAGTGCCGCCGTGTCTCTGCTTCTCCGATGAACTATACAGACCAACGCCAACCGACGAAACATCTTTCACCAACGTATTCGCCCATGAAACTGCTGGCTCATTCACCGGTACACCATTTCTAAACCCAAAAGATGCAGACTTTTTAAGCTTGTTAGCATCCTCACCATTAAACCCCCACTCCAGTTTTCCGTCAGGCGAACCCCACTGCGAAAATTTTGGACTCATGGCGCCTGAACCTGTCGTGCCTCGGTCAATGAAGCTCTGGCTACGTTGTTTCGAGAACGCACCAGACCTTGAATTGATCACCGCCTGAGCAACCGCCGCCGATGAATCAAAAGCAAAACCTGCTGGTTTTCTCATCGGAGAAGACGTGTAGTTACCCCGGAGCTGGTTAGAGTTCTGCCGGATTTGTTGATGCGCGGTTGGAGATTGCAATTCAAAAGATCCAAAAACATCATCGAGATTCGTAGCCTGCAACTCCCCAAATCTTTGGTTGTTGCGGTAAATATTTGCAGACAAATCATCAATCATTTGTTGCCTTTGTTTCTGTTGAGTCAATAAGCTCTCCAACTCCAAGTCTCGTGCATTCAAAGCACTCCGTAAACGACTACCGGAAAGCTGCAGCACCGGCGGCGTCAAATGGTTCATCTTGTTCGGCCACCCGTTCATGGAAGACACCGGAGCAATAGAAGGCGACATTGGTGGCGTCGAAACAGAGTTCTGGCTAGGGCTCATCGAACCCACCATTTCGCCGGAACTAACAGACGATGATTTGGGCGAAGGGATGGCTGAGCCGGTGGAAGCATACAAAGGCCTCAACTCGTCGACTCTGTGCGCAAAAAAACACACTTTTCTGGCACACCCAGTTTCATCTTTGCATAAACGAGTTTTGTATTGAGCTGGGTGAAGCCAAGATTCAAACACTCCGTGTGCATACTCACAGTTATCTCCATTAACGCAGCTTCCTTTACGAAACTCCGGGCATGGGACACAGGTGTAGTTGTATTTCTTCGGGTCACGCCGCCGTGCGTTCTCGCCGGGATGAACAAACGGGCATTCTGTCCAATCGTGAGTGTAAGCTCTTGAACATGGCTTCACCTTGAACGTATACATCCTAAACTCATCGGAGCCGTACACCGCATTGTTTATGTCCGGCAAAGATAAATCAACAGGGTATTCCTTTTTCGCGGCAACAATCTCTTCGACGATAACAAAACCCTTCAACAACATCTCCAAACCTTTTCGCATGGAGGATTTGATTCCACGGGCTATCAAGTCGCCGGGTTTGTTCCCGTTGCAATCTGTTAAACTAACATCCGCCCCTGCATCAAGTAACAACTTCACGATTTCAATGGAGGTAAAAGCCCCGCCAGCGGCTGCGCAATGGAGGGCGGTGAGACCGTCGGAACCGGAGGTTTTGTTGACGTCGATTTTTTTAGTAGCGATTAAGTATTTCAAAACACGAATGCTTCCATAAACCGAAGCAATCATGAGAGAAGTTCGTTCTTCAAATCCCATCTTTCCTTTACATGAATTACTTCGTCCGTACCAAAATCCGACTTCATCTAAACCGATACCCTTTTCTTCTACATCTGAAACGAACCCAGAAACATCATCTGCAGCTGCTAACTCGAGCAAATTCGAGCATTTCAAATGAACCCTAAATTTCTTTTCTTGATACCCCACTCCCTCCATGGTTAAACCAGTAAAATAAAATTGTTACCCTTTACAACTGTTTATAAAGCGTAATTAATAGATAGGTATCTGGAGCTTAGTTGTAGAAACTTGTTGAGTGAATCGAGGGGAACAATGAAGAAGATAAAGATGAATAGAATGAATTGGAATGAACGATATTTATACGATGGAATTGAATAATGAATATACAAATAATGTAAAAGGAAAGACACGAGGGGGTGTGGAGGAAGGTGTGACTACTTTTTAGTCAAAAGTCAAAGCATTCAACAATGGTGGAGCTGAATGGCACACCCACTTCAAAACTGCAAATATATTAATAAGAAATGAAGATGAAATGCAAATGCAAATGCAAATTGAAGCTGACATCTGACTCTGAGACAGTAGTGGATATTAATGGGCCGGTACAAGTCCAATGGAGTGTAAAGTGAACCGGACCCCACGCGGTTCAAAGGTACAACGAATCGCGTTGTAACAAGATATGAGCACAGGGGACCGTATCTCGGACCGAGACCGGTTCATGAATAATACGTGTTAAATTCTACGGCCAATGATTAAGCCGTTTTTACCATAAAGGTGTCGAATGATGTTTACAATGTTTCGGTCGTGTGTTTATACTTTATAATAATTTATATTCAAGAAATCATGATATCACAGTTTGACATTTTAACAAAACCAATCTATTTTTTTATGAGTTGGCCATTGTATTTTTGTGGATTTTCTTAATGTACTGATTCAAAGAAAATAGCAAACTATATATACCATTTTTTGCGGTTTACTTGAATGTTTTGAATATTATATTTATTTCTATTCTTAATACCCACATCACATCTTAAAGCTTAGACCGGAGGGTACAGGTGAAAAGTTTTCTTTACTTTTTGTGAGGCATACCACCATTTCTTGTATTTCCTCCCTCACCTAAATTCAAGGAATGGATGAGAAATTTTCTTCATTATTTTGTTTTTTTTTAAATAAAATTAATTGTTTTTATGATTTATAATTTTTAAATTAAAAACAATAAAAAAATTTAATTAAAAAGAAAATGCATTTCATTAATTAAAATTAAGATTACAATAAACCTAAAATTTAAAAAAGTAGAAACTAAAAAAAAAAAAAAAAAACACAAACAAACAAACAAAAACCTATGGAAAATATTTTTTTTCATAATTTTTTTCCCTCTTCTTCATCATGAGCTCGATAGCCGGTCCTGAAAGATGGTCACTGTTTTCCATCAATAACTTCATATCCTCAATTTTTTGTCTCTCCGCCCCCGCTCCTTCTTCCTTGCTTATTATTTTTCTTTGTCGAATGCAACGACGTTATTATTTTCCAAATTTCGTCAAGGTCCATACTGAAATCCGATGCATCCGAAGAAGTCCATTTTCCCTTTCCCTTTGTTTTATCCCTACCCATCGGTCGGACAATTTCTTCTAGCTCGGGTTCGTCCTCCTGATTTAAATCTAGACCGACCTAGCATCGGAGGAGGTTGTATAACCACTAGAGTCCGTTTTTGTTCGTTTTGATTGTTGTACTCCAAAAATAAAATATTGCTCATATTTTTTCCACCTAAGACATCTAACCAATAATTTCCAACAATCGTGCCACTTGAATGGCTTTCCGACTTCCTCAAGGTAAAATTGCAAAGCTTCTTGAAGTATTTTTTTCGTCGTCTTGACCTCTTTTTTGTTGGGTTTTTAGGTTGTTGTACAACCCGTTTATTTATTAAACCCCTATTGCTATTTCTCGAAACTTTAAATTCAGTTGGTGTTTCATATGGTAGTCGTCACCTTTTTCTAGCTTGTTGGGGAGGAAATCTCGATGGCAATCAAGGATAGATTTCTATTTCGGAAGGGGTGCTAACTGAAATGTTCTCCCGGTTATGCATTTCCCATCTTTATATCCTTAGAAATGTCTTTAATGTCCGTAGATCCGGAATAGTCAATTTAGAGATAATAGGGGTTGAAAACGACTTTTTGACAAAAGATTATTTAGAATAAATAATCTTAACCAAGTTTTATAATATGTCTCAATGGTTCCGTACAAATAAGAACGCCAAAATCCGAGTTATAACGAAGAAGTTATGGCCCGTCGAAGTGTTACGGCAAAACCGGCACGATACTAGGAGACGTAAATAGTGAACTTTTGATAAATGACTTTTTAGTCTTAGTGATCTAAACAAAAGTTTTAGTACACGTTAAACCGATAACATACAAAAAAAAAAAAAAAAAAAAAAAAAAAAAAAAACCCCAAATCTGACTTCGTATGATGAAGTTATGAATTCTCTAAGATTTGACATAGCAGTGCAGGATCCGAAACTCGGATTTTAGTTCGAGCAGTGTTTGGCCTACGCGACCTAAATAAGAGTTGAAGATCTCATTAATAGGAACTCAACGGTAAAAAGACAGACGGAAACAGAGTCCGTATGTAGAAGTTATGAATTTTACGCTGACATTTAACAATATAATCTCCTCCTACTGTTAAATTTAAGATCGGTCGAGAATTAGCCGACGCAGTCTAAATGAAAGTTTTAGATCTTATTTTTACCTACGTGTGGATATAAAGAATGTCGAGAGTAGAGCTCGTATGTTAAAGATATGGACTAAACTTGGTCTTTACTCTTTGAACGCGATAAATTTGATACAATTTTGTAAATCTGAGATAGAATGAGAATTAGCCGACGGCGTCTAAATGAAAGTTGTAGTACTCATAAATATCAACGTATGGATATAAAGAATGTCAAACATGGAGTTTGTATGAATGAGTTACAAATTATAATAACATATTTACGTATTAAATTAAAGTATAAATGATATATACATGTGTATATATATATATATATATATATACACATATATGTATATATATATATATATATATAGACACAAATGTATATATCATTAGAAATGCATCGACGATACGGTTATTATAAGACTACTGTTGAGTACTTTCGACATTAGTTTAGTACAAATATCGTTAAATCTATTTAAAATAGTATTATAATGGGGTGTTTAGTCGTTTATATAACTATAAGGTCATTAAGTAATTATGGATGGTAGTTTTTGTAAATTCAATTACTATAAATAAGAGGCTTGGACTCTCATATTTCTTGCATCATATAACTATAAACAAGAGTCATTCTCTTCTCATCCCCCGAGCATTTCGGTCCCTCGTGATTCGACTTCTCTTTCTGTAGTTTTAATATAGTAAGGTGAGCGCTGAAGCGCTACACAATTCTTTCTTAGAAAGATTCAACGACGAAGTTATGCCTCTGCAGAGCTCGGCTTCTAGCTAAAACCCCATTGTAAATAAGTTATGCTTACTCTATTTTAATATAGTTTATATTTAAAATTAGTATTGAAATTATGAACTTATAATAAATATTTGAGCTATTATTATGACTTATATAAGTGTCGTTATAATATATTTTTAACTACTCGTGGTACGGAGAATCTGGTTTAAAGGGCCGCATAGGGTTTGTGGATTTCAGAATTGTTATATGCCAAAATGGTCCTACCTTCTGGTGTTTTATGTCTGGCCCCTGTCTGTACGTAGTGGTTGAAAAGTATTGTTTAAACGCGTATATAGTAATAATAATAATAATAATAATAATAATAATAATAATAATAATAATAATAATAATTTAGTCACGATAAATATTAGACTTAAATCTAGTGGTAATAATACTAGGTTTCGTTTACGGAAATTATTTTAAAGTAAATGAAGCGTTGTCCGAGTACCGAGTCACCACCTTATCAAGTGAGTGCGTAGTTACTTTCATCTTAAACATAGATATGAAATATTTTATATAAATTACGTGCTATGTGTGCATATTATCTGAATACTTGTTGTCTATGTTGGATGAATGATTTTATACATGTTTGAAATGATTTAAACTGTATATTTATTTTATATCTACAAATATATTGGGATAAAACATGGGTAGATGAAATAGTTGGTGTGTGATGAAATAAAATAATGAGAGATAGGTAATGATAGGAAGGTGATGATAATTATGTGAGGATAGATAGTTGATGATGAATCGGTGATGTAGGATGAAAGATACTATAACCTTTTCCAGCAATTTGGAGATGTAGTCATCTACCAGAGTATAGATGGCGACCCCCGACTATTATAGACAACCCCGTGGAAACACCAACAGACTCATAACCTGTAGGTGATGAATTACGAGTTCAGACGATGTTGTAACTACGTATTCATGTGATGATACTTTAACCCTTACTATGAATTACGAGTTCAGACAATGTTGTAACTACGTATTCATGTGATGATACCCTAACCCTTACTATGAATTACGAGTTCAGGCGATGTTGTAACTACGTATTCATGCGATGATACTCCAACCCTTACTAGGTGTATATTGAGGGAGTAATCCCTGAACCATTATTGTATGTGTAATGTAGGCGATGATCCTTAGGAAAAGTCCTTAGCAACGAACATATAAGGAAATGCGATGTAAAGAGATGAGAGGTAAATACGATATAGGAGATGAACCTTAAGGTAATACTTTAGGGAATATCAAATGAATAAAATGGGGATGAGTAATCGGGTTAATTGTTTGACATGTATTATGTGAAGAAACAAGTTAAATATATTATTGTGGGTTGAAAACCCTATGTACTCACTAGGTTTCCTAACCTGACCCACTCAGTTTATTTGTATCACAGGTGTTGATATAAAGTTATATTACACAGAGAGATTAAGGAGATGTAAATCACTAGTTTAAAAATAAATAAAAAATGTAAGTTCTGTTTATGCTTATGTTTCTGTATTGACGATGAGATCCCAATGTTTTAAAAATAAATAAAATACATTTCTTCGGAAATGCTTGATAACGTATTTATCATGTTTTTCTGGGAACAAATTCCGCAACATTTTTATTAAAAGAGGTACTCTGATTTTTATAAAGCATAAACAAAAATTGGTCTTTTCTGGCAGTGAAAAATAGGGATGTCACAATGTTAACCCAAGATTTTACCAAAACT